AAATAAATAAATAAATAAATAGTGAGCATCTTTCCATGTCAATAAACATTTTTCTTCAACATCCTTTAAAACAGTGACTTGGTTTTGCATTGTACAGATGAAACATAATTTTTCTTCTTGGTTTTGGACATTTTAGCTAATTGCAGGTTTTAGCTATTACCAACAATGCTGAAATTATCATCTTCATAGCTAGTATTTGCAACTCCCCTTGTTTATTTCCATGGATAAATTTTTCAGTGGGAAGTCGGTGGGTGGAAGCCATCAGGGCTCCGGAGGCTGTCACGTTCCCCTCCAGCAAAGTTTCAATCCATTCACACCTCCGCCCACTGTGAATGAGACTGCACAGTTCCTTGTACCCTAATCTACCCTGTGCATTACCTCTTGGTTGGATGATGTATTTGTTTTAAAATCTTTGTCAAGGAAACTTGAAATATTTCCTAGCACATTCTCAGCAACACCCAGACTACTCAAAACTACAGAATCAGCTGCAGCCCTCATGCCACTGAGGGGATAACTTGCAGGCAACTCGGGGAATGTGTCACCTCCCTGCTGTACCCCACTTTTAACTCATTTTTTAATAGAAAAAAGGTCCCAAAAGGAGTTAGGGGCATGTGTATTGTGAGGGGCATTCCTGCTTGTAGAGATTTCCTCTCTTGTCCATGGTGAAGCAGATGTCCTCAAGTGAGAGGGAAGATATGAAGCTGTCACTTGTCTGAGCCCAGTGAGTGTATGAGATGACATTGAAAAGCAGAGAACTGAACTACAGCCGATGGACACTGACTGTATGTCCTGGTGTCAGGCATCCCACGGGGTGTCTCTCTGGGTCAGCCAATTATTTCTTCACAGATTCAGCAAACATTTATGGAATGTTTATTACATATGGCACTGTTGCTGTCCTCGAGTTTTTCAGGGACACAAATTTTGATCGTGCCACTCCCCTCTCTACCACCCTTCAGTGGCTCCCTAAAACCCTCTGGACAAAGCCCAAACTGTGCTCAAACCATCACGGCTCTGTGTGATTTTGCCTCTTCCCACGCTTACAGCCTCATAGGTATCACTTCCTCACTGGCCTCCAGGGCACCACCCTTTCTGAGGGCTTGAGTCTCTCATTTGTGCTGTTCTCTCTACCCTAAAGCAGTCAGCAGCTTTCCACCCAGTGAAATCCCACACATTCTTCCAGGCTCATCTTAAATGTCACTTTCTTAGAAAAAGGGTCCCTGACACCCTCTCAACCAAACTAGTTCTCCCCATACTTAGGCTCAACACCTTTGCACATCAGTACTTATCACATTAGGATTCAACTCATCCAGGGTCTGTCTCCCCACAAGAACGTAAGCTCCAGGAGAGCGAGGGCCACACCCTCTTGTTCTGGACTGCATCCCATGGTCCAGCACAGAGTAGGGGATCTTAGCTCCTTGTTGAGTTAATGAATGAAAGAGAGGCGTGCCATAACACCTCTATTTTCAAGTCTTTAAGAGGTAAGAAGTCACAAACACCAAGATGAGCACTCCTATTCCTGTCTGGAGTAGGGTAAGAGGAAGCCTTCTGTGACCCCCTGACCACACTTTTGGATAACCTTCGGTAAGAACGACCACCAGCATGTCCAGAAGATAAACTTCAAGGCATAACTAGTCTGCACACGGAATCATTATCCCTTGAATGTGTTGGAAGAATGTGAGTGCTGAGCTTGGAGAATCCAGCAGTGATGAAGTATTTAAGAGACTAGAGTTTTAGAGTCTTATAAAGAGTACTGATTAAAGGTCAAGACTTAGGCCGGGCTTGATGGCGCCTGCCTGGAATCCCAGCACCTTGGGAGGCCAAGGCGTGTGGATGACTTGAAGCTAGGAGTTCCAGACCAGCCTGGCCAACATGGTGAAACCCTGTCTCTACCAAAAAATACAAAAATTGTCCAGCTTGGTGGTGCACGCCTGTAGTCCCAGCTACTGGGGAGGCTGAGTTGGAAGGATGGCTTGAGCCCAGGAGGTGGAGGTTGCAGTGAGCCAAGATTGCGCCACCGCACTACAGCCTGGGTGAGGAAGTGAGACCCTGTCTCACAAAAAAAAAACAAATAAATAAAAAAGGACTTACGAAAGTTACATGCTACTTTGTAGATTTTTTTTTCCAGTTAAATAGACAAATTATTGCTGTTCAGTAAAAAAAAAAAAAAAACGATAATCTGAAAGGTTTATTATCTGAAACGATAATCTGAAAGGTTTATTGTCTTGTAGGTTTGTTATCTTGTAGGACTTTAACCAGTTTCATATTTAGCCTTGCAATCACACTCTAA